CGTTTACCATGAGAGCTATGTTTGCTCTTTCATCATCTGATTCTGAGTCAGCTTCAGATGTGTCAGAATCATCCCATGTAGCCATGAGGCTTTTCTTCTTTTCCTTGATAAACTTCTTTTTGGGCTTCTCCTTCTGAAGCTTTGGGCAGTCAATTTTGTAGTGCCCTTGCTCGTTAAATTCATAGAAGATGATGTCTTTGTTGTTTAGCTTTCTGTATCCTGAAGAACCTTCAGATCTTTGGTCTAGAGGAGGATTCTGACCTTCTGTATCTGGAGGAGGATTCATTCTGATTTTCTGATCTTCTGGGATTCCTGAACTTCCTTTGCCTCTGCTTCCACAGTTGGTTCACCCTTCTGGAGAGGAGAGACAGTTCATCTTCTTCTGATGAGGATCCATCATAGGTTTCTTCTACAACCTGCAAAACTTTGGAGTCAGATTTTCTGTTAGATTTTAAAGCTAATGGCTTACCTTGCTTTTGAGGTTCATCTGCTTCTAGCTCTATCTCGTGACTTCCGAGGGAGCTAACAAGTTCCTCCAGAGAGATTTTGTTGATATCTTTTGCTAGCTTAAGCGCTGTGACCATTAGCCTCCACTGTTTTGGAAAGCTTCTGATGATCTTCTTAACATGATCAGTAGTAGAATACCCTTTGTGAAGAACTTTTAGACCAGCAACAAGAATTTGAAATCTCGAAAACATAGTTTCTATTGATTCAATATATTCCATCTTGAATGCCTCATACTTCTGAATGAGCGCAAGGGCTTTGGTTTCTTTGACTTGAATGTTGCCTTCATGCGTCATTCTCAGAGAATCAAACATATTCTTGGTAGTTTCTCTGTTTGATATTTTCTCATATTCTGAATATGAGATGGCGCTGAGGAGAATTGTTCTGGCCTTGTGGTGGTTTGTGAATTCACGCTTTTGCTGATCAGACATCATTTTCATGTCTATCTTCTGACCACGTCCATCCACTGGATGCGTGTATCCATCAGTCACCATGTCCCACAGATCAGCATCATGGTCCAGAAAGAAACTCTCAATTCTATCTTTCCAGTAGTCAAAGTTCTCTCCATCAAAGACTGGAGGTTTGCCACTGAATCTGTCCCTTTCTTCATTGTTGTCATTGCTGATGTTTTGACTTGGTCCCGCCATAGTGTTTTTCTGACGCTGGATCTTGTACTGACACGGTTAAGTGTTTAAGCTCAGAACCAGGCGCTCTGATACCAATTGAAGATGTGAAAAACACAAGAAGGGGGGTTGAATTGAAAAACTTGGATCAAAAACAGCTTAGTGACACAGTATTTTTATCCTGGTTCGTTTAATCTCAAACTACTCCAGTCCACCCGTCAAGGTGATTTCGCCTCTCTCCAATGAGGTCTTAATCCACTAATCTCAAATGATTACAACAGCTACTTTAACAACTGTTAAAGTCTTCTTGAGTACAACCACAATCCAGTTAATCTCAAGGAATTCTTTTATAATATATTTGAACAAGAATGTGTTGTTGTTTTCTAACAAAACAGTTTATCACAACTGTGATAATTTACACAGGTTAAGCTTAGAATATAGAATGAATTTGCTAGAGCTTGAATATGTGTGGTTTGGAATTCTTTTGGCAAATTGTTGTGTGTGTACGTACGTGCTTCTTTTTGCAAGCAGACTTGTTTATATAGGCAAGGCAAAGACGTTGTCCATAAAGCACATTTAATATTAATAACACACTTTCCTTTTGTAGAAGAACTTGTCTGAAGAAAGTCGTTGACATTAATTATGTCTTGAATAATCAGTAACGCTTCAGAGTCTTCTATCCTTAACTGCTGATAACGCTTCAGAATATTGATGACTTGGTTGATATGTCTTTGTTCAGAATCAGAGTTTGTTGTAATTAAGCGCAGGTTCTGGTCACCAATCTTCAGCATATTAATCTGATTGCTTCAGCATGTAATACTTTAGCTTATCTTCTGATGCTGATCCCATCAGAACTTCTGCATACATAAAACATATTTTTAAGGTGCATATTTGTTCTTTGTATATATTCTTTCTTTGTATTTGTTATCATCAAAACTCTAATCAAGGGTTGTAGAATCAAACCATGTTCTAACACTTTAATTGCCTGGGAATTGAGTTAGCCACAACAGATCCAATCTAAGTCATAACAGTTGGCACAACTATGTCAATCTTAGTCTGAGAATCATTGGGCAAGCAGAATCGGTAACCATTGTACTATGTCCATCAGTAGGAACTAAATTCTCTCCAGCATTATGATATGCACTATGTACATCAGTTTGAATAGATTTCTCTCCAGTATTATGAGGGATTCACCACCAATTTTTTTTTTGAAATTTGCATATAAATGTCTGAGACACAATCTGTGTTCTATCCTGTCAAACATCTCCTCGAAGACAACAACTAGTACCTAAAGCAGAAATAGTTGCACATTCAATACAGAACCAACAAGTTAAAATAACAATTTAATCACTACATTAATAACATTTAAGAATATGCATACCTTCTGTTGATCAGAGATGAATACATATCTTCTCTCTTGACTAATGTCTTCCATCAATAGTTGTATGAATCACCTCCGGCTCTCCTTAGTATTTGTCTCTACCACTCCAAATATCAATGGAAAGTATTGATCATTAACATCTCTCCCTGCAACAATTAATAGTTGTCCACCATTCTTTTTCTTCAAATGACATCCATCAACCCCCACGAAGGGTCTGCATCCATTAATAAATCCTTTCTTACAACCATCAAAACAAAAATAAAAGGATCCAAACCTAGGTTGTATGGAAGGAGTAGGTCTTTCAATATTGATCTTCACAGTGTTACCAGGATTCACTCTTGTTCATTCCGCCCCATACCTCCATATGGATGCATACTGATTATTTGTATCACCTTCAATTACCTTCTTAGCTATTAACTTAGCCTTCCATGCTTTTGCAACAGTAATCTCTACAGAATTTTTTTGCCTGATATCTTGCATTATGTCTCTTATTCTAACATTATCAAAAATTTGCAGCCTTTTTACCACATGCTTAGCCACCCACATAGAGTTGGCAGATTTATTATCTAAAACCCTAGCACATGTGTGGGTATCCACAAGTGTTTTTATTGCAAAAGTGTGTTTGTGGGCCACTTTAGAGCATAAGACTAAAAAGCCACATTTAGCCATACATTGTACTCTAACTCTATAACTTTCATTTTTTTACAAAGGTAATTTCCCTCCCATTGAGGACTGACCACTCACGAATAGCCTCCCTAAATTCCACAAGTGAATTAAATTCCATACCCATCTTAAACTTATAGTCCTTATTGCAGTGATCTTTTCTAAACCTTTCATAATTGGACCTTTCATCATCACAAGAATCATCCAGGTCATCATTATTCAACTCATCACTATGGTATTCATCCTCATCCATTATCTTATTGGGCCTACCAAAAAGCTCACTAAGACTTACATCTTTATTCAATGAAAATGTAACATCGATTCCTTCAAATCCATCAAGAAGAGCAGTAGCTCTCTCATCTTCACTGTCATCTAAACCTTCAACCATCTCCTCTTCCAACCCATCCATTTCATTCACCTCATTGACACAATTAGGTTTCGTATCATTAGCATCCAATTCTCCCAGAGAATGTTCCACAAATAAATGTCCAATGATATTCATTGCACTCAAGAATGATGCAAAATCGTATGCATCATCATCCTTTTTTATCAAAATATATCCTTCTTGAATCTTTAAAACTTTAGTCCATAAACAAAAAGTTCCATTCTTATACCCCAACCCACTCACCAACTTTAGAATACGATCCATTGTCCAATTAGTAACTTCAAACCCATTTACAGTCGAATCACCCCCTCCCCCCTGTAAATAATTTCAATCGGATTAACCCTAATAAATTCACCTCCATGGTGAAAAGTAACAGTAAAAGGTTGGAAATCCAGTGAATAAATCAAATTCAGTAATCATAATGTTCCCACTATATTACACTTTAACTGTGATGAAGTTTCAAAATCAACATACCTTAAACATTACAAGCTTCGTCTTAGTCTTTGTCGTCAACTTATGCCTCGTCTTCGTCGCCAAAGATTCATCCTCTTCACAACACAAACTTCTTCACATAAACCCTAATTTTGCAAGGGGATATAAAGAATTGAAAACGTAAATACCAACTGGGCAAGCAAATGAGTAAATAAAAATGACGTATGTATATATAGAAATAACATATGGCTAAAATTTTAAATTGTTGTTAAAGATTCCATGACATCTGGTTTTGGGGGGTGATGTGAAGGAATCTACATAATATAAGGGGGGAATGAAAAAAAAAACTTTATGAGAGGCTAAATCTTGAATTCGCTAACATTACAAGGGGGTTTGTCTCTTTAGCCCTTGTATTGAGTTGTGATACTATTTTTTTAACTGAATTTTTTTTAAACACAATCTGGAAACCTAACCAATAAATGAACATATGTAGCTTTGGTAAGATTTTGACCGGGAATGAATGAATGAGAACTCCAATATTTTTTTTTTTGAATTTTTTAAAAAATGAAGAAGGAGGAAGAGGGAAAAGTCTGACACAACAATATGAAACAAAAGTGTCCAGGGATGCATCTCATGACCACCAATCATTTTTTTAATATATAATATTTACGGAGATTTATCTTCAAATGTATCTCCAAATTAAATTTTAACATAATAGAGTGTTTTCGGGTTTAACTAAAGTTTCTGTTTTACAACTTATCATATCCACATAGGATTCACATTCATGAAGATAGAGGTATGCATCATAAAAGTTCATAACTTTAAACTCAATCTTCTATGAAAGGATGATATGACATCTGCTTCCTGACTGCAAAATGAAGTGCAAAAATTTGTTAGAGAAAATTTTAGTTTATACAAAATTTCAAACAAATTAACTTCACATTCATGTGGTAAAAGAAAATAGAATTTCAAGAGACTTGTACCTGGTATTTGATTATTTCAAATTGCATGACTAATTGAAAAATACAACAGATGGAACATGTTGGACTTTATGGTAATCCTCTCCACCAACTCCAAGCCTATTGTTGAATAATTTAGGCATCCATCTGATCTCTAACTCCCTCAAACCAGCAACAAATTTCAGTCCATCAGGAACACTCTTCAACTTGTTGCAATCAGATATACTCAATCTATAGAGACAAGGCATGGCTTGATCCTCTACCAATTGGCGAACATAACATTTTCTTTCCAACAAACATTTCCCAACCACTCAGGTACTTCAAATTAGGAAGCTTCTCTAATGTTACCATTGGATCTTGAACCAGCTTACAACCCGACAAACTTAGCTTCGAGAGTTGTGGAGGAAAATTGTAAAACCATTGATTATATGTGATCTTGGACATTTCCGACCATGATCGGCCGTTTTCTGGCCACTACCATAACAGACCGAGAAGGATGACCAGATATCAAGGCGCAACAATTACAGTTCGGCGGAAGCCATTTTCCCACGAATACACTTACCTACCAAAATATCATGTAAAAATCTTCAAATATATAGTATTATTTTTCGTTTTAGTAATATATATTACCATTTTTATTACGATCTTATATTTTACTATTTTGCTATCCAATCCCGATCTTACAAAAATAATTGGATAGGATTTTCCGATCTTAGTTACGATTTTATATTTTACGATGTTACTATCCACTCCCGATCTTATGCAAGGTCCTGTCCGATCTTGACAACCTTGCATACAAGTTTAGCAAAAACAAAAACTGAAACAATTCCTAATCTTTGTAATAAAGCAAAGTTAAATGATGCTAAAAACAATTGTTGTTACCCTTAAACATAACTTTACTACAACTACTTCTTGTTCATAAATGAAAAATATTTTAAGATACAAATGAAATCTTCAACTTCATGAGAATAAGACCATCTCAATTGCTTTTGTGTCTCGAACACAAACTGTGATTCTTCATTGTCTCTTGCTGTTACGGTTAAACCATATGTCTGTAAGCTTCTTGTAAGGTCAACTACATGAGAATTGATCGATATAATCTTTCTTCCGACGTTGTGAGCATGTTTTAGTTTATAGAAAGAAAGCATTGCACTTGAAACTGAAACTTCGATGGCGTAAATTTCAATCACATCCTCAGCATCATAAGCTAGTTTTCTGATCTCTGATATCCAACTCTTTATATTCTCGCCACCTTCGATTTGCTTTATGAAGTGGTATTATGAAGTGGTATTCATTGCTATGTTCGGTATCCATTATTTTATAACTGGTTAAAATAAAAATCAATTTTTTTCCGGCATTCAACATGATTAATTGATTGTATAAAATCTTTTTATAGTATTAGTGCATTTCAATTAAATTTATATAAAAAGAGATTAATTATGATTAATTACATGTATTTTCAATATAAAAAGTTTTATATTGTCAATTCACCACTATCGCATTAGTTTATAGATGGTAAAAATAAAAGTCAAATTTCTTCTAATATTCAACGTTTATGATCAACTGATCGTGTAAAATCTTTTTACATTGTTATTGCATTTCAATTAAATTCATACAATAATTACATTTTGTCACATATTATAGGGAATTTATTTTCCACCTCTATAGGTTCTCTCTAATCATTGACAAAAAGTAAAAAATATCCATAATTTTCGGAGATGCATCTTCGAGCGCACTATTTTCTCACAAAATAAGCGCAAATGAGTGAGCGTCCCTCACTTTGCCAAAATTTAATTCGAAGATACATCTCCGTATGTGTTTTAGGCTTTGTCTGCATATGCATCTTCGGATTAACACCCATGTTCAAATTTAGGTGTTTTTTCATAGATGCATCTCCAAACGTGTTTAATTATTATATAACGCGCGCCTAAAGAAGAATTTTAACATTATCTTTAACGACAATCATAATTTTAAAAACTATCATACTCCACCTAAAGAAGAGTATACTTCACTTGAAGCTAAACCACTTCAAGAATTTTCACATGCTAAAAATAAAGTTGAAACTTTATGGTGCAGCTTCCATGTTGGTAGGAAGCTCTTCAACCATCGACATAATCTCACAACACATTTTGCATCAATGTCTATGCGTTAATCTGCTAGCAATAATACATCATTTTCCATGACAGCGGAAATGTCACGAGGACACATTTCTCAATTTTCAGATAAGACTATCCTATTTCACAGCAAGAGAGACATTGCTAGAATTAGAATCAGAGCCCTTCTCTGACACTACTCCATCAGAACACTTATATTTTATATGTACAATATTTCCATATTTCCAACATCTCACACTCGTTTCATTGTTTTTATTCACATAAGGCCTTCCCCTAGCAACCAACACTCAGTTTGATGAAGTATTATCCTCACATTTCAATCTTCTTTCGTCAGAAGTAATTTTACTAGCAACTTCTTCAAAATCCAAAGTTTCTTTTCCATATATCAAAATCAGTTTAATATGCTCATAGGAAGATGAAAGAGACCATATGAGTCTCAAAACTTTATCTTCATCATCAATCTTGACTTCAATAGTTTCTAATTCAGAAACAATACCATTTAGAACACTTAGATGATCAAATACTTTGTATGTTCATCCACACGCAAGCTATGAAACTGCTCCTTCAACAATAAACGATTTGATATACCCTTTCTTTGATATAGCCCTTTAAGTTTCTTCCAAAGCTCTTTGACTGACGACGTACCAATAACATTCGCAAGAATATCAATAGTCAGAATTGTTGCAGCAAATTCAGAAAACTATCACAGGAGATATAACAATAGCTAAGTTGAAACAACAATGTTTACAAGGGACCCAACATGACTCCAAGTACCAGGTTCGAAATGATATGTTATTTTGAAACGATTGACTAGTCATCCCTAGAGTTGCGGTTATCATTGCTAAGATCTTATTTGAATATCATGCTTTTCCTATTGGTGGACATTTGGGAATACATAGAACTAATGCTAGAATTTGTCAATAATTTTTTTGGCTTAATATGTCTAAGGATATTGCCACTTTTCTTTCAGAATGTCTAATTTGTCAGCAAGCCAAATCCTCAAACACTCTGTCTGCATGTCTACAACAGCCTTTGCCTTTACAACTACAAATTTTAGATGATGTAGCAATGGATTTTATCACTGGTCTGCCACTATCATACAGTTGTATGGTGATATTCATAGTTATTGGCATATTATCCAAGTATGCGCAAATTGCTTCAATAAAACTCAATTATACTAGCTATAAGGTGGTTGAGATATATTTTTCATAGTGTGATAAAACTGTTAGTGCAAGGTGATGAAATTGAGGAAGAAGAGAGAAAGGAATAAATGCTAAAAGCTGCCACTAATGATTGAAGGAATTGGATTGTCATAAATGTAAACCTAGTACACCTATTTATACACAAAATGAATGCCACATAGGCCCTAATGAATTTACAAATGACAAATACTAAATTACCCTCTAATACCATCCCGTAATTTAGTAACTTATCAGAAATTAACAACACCAATTTCATCTCTCAGGCGAAGAAATTGGTCTGTTTTTATCGCCTTTGTTAGAACATCTGCTAGCTGCTTCTGAGTGCTACAGTGTAGAACTTCTAACACTCCTTTCTGCACTTGACTTCGGAGAAAGTGATACTTCGTCTCAATGTGCTTGCTTCTTCCATGTAGCAGTGAATTCTTTGCAAGATTAATTGCAGATTTATTATCAATCATCAGCTTCAGAGGTTCCTCAACTTCAACCTTCAGATCATGCAGCAGATTCAGAAGCCAAACTGCTTGACAAGCAGCTACAGCACCTGCAATGTATTCAGCTTCACATTTTGACAAAGCCACAACAGGCTGTTTCTTGGAACTCCAAGAAATTGGACCTCCCAGAAACTTGAACAAGTACCCAGAAGTACTTCTTCTGTCAACTCTATCTCCACACCAATCAGAATCAGAGTAACTCAGAAGTTCTGATTTGATCTTTCCTCCAGAAGGAAATAACACTCCATATTTCAGAGTTCCTTTTACATACCTCATAATCCTGACAGCAGCTTGGTAATGAGACCACTTTGGTTTGCTCATGTATCTGCTGACCCTTCCACTGCATAACAAATATCAGGTCTGGTATTACACAAATACCTCAGAGAACCAACCATCTGTTTGAAGGTTGTAGCATCCACATCCTCTCTATCAGAATCAGAATCCAACTTCTGATTCGTATCAGCAGGTGTGATAGCAACCTTGCAATTTGCTAGCCCAAATCTCTTCAGAAGCTCCAGTTCATACTTCTTCTGAGGTAAGATGATTCCTTTCTCAGAGTATATAAATTCCATCCCTAGAAAGAAACTCATTTTTCCAAGATCTGTCATCTCAAACGCATTCATCAGAACTTTCTTGAACTCAACTGTTTCTTGTTCAGAACTTCCTATGAGTAATATGTCATCAACATACAAACAGACCAGAATCATATTACCTTCTGAAGTGTGCTGAACATAAACACCATACTCCATCTCACACTTCTGAAACCCTTGTTCCTTGAAAAACGAATCAATCTTCAAATTCCAGGCTCTAGGCGCTTGCTTCAGTCCATACAGAGCTTTATTTAACCTGTATATCATCCCTTCTTGATTCTTTTTCACAAATCCAGGAGGTTGTGACACATAAACTTATTCCTGTAATGGACCTTTCAGAAATGCAGACTTCACATCCAGATGTATCAAAGGCCAATTTTTGTTTGCAGCTAAAGCAATCACCAGTCTGATTGTTTCGTGTCTAGCTACAGGCGCAAACACCTCAAAGTAATCTAGTCCAGGTTTCTGAAGAAAACCTCTGGCCACTAGTATCGCTTTGTGTTTGCCAATTGATCCATCTGGCTTTAGCTTCTGCTTGAAAACCCATCTGACGCTGATGGCTTTCTTGCCTTTTGGAAGTTATGTCAGCTTCCAAGTCTTGTTTCTTTCAATAGCCTCAAGTTATTCTTTCATGGCATTCAGCCATACTTTCTTCTTGAGCGCTTCTTCAATACCCACTGGTTCAGAATCTACTAGCATGGCACACTGAACGATTTCTCCTTCAGAATCCACTTCAGTATCATGCAACATGCTAAAATCTGCAAACCTACTTGGTATTCGTCTGATTCTCTGTGGCCTCTGATCTTGTTCTGAATTTTCTCCAGAACTCGGAACTGTGCTGGCTTCTGGACTTTGTCCAGAATTATTTCCTTCAGAATTACAACCTTCAGAGTTACTACTGGAAACTTGTTCTCCAGACCCCATGTCTTCTTAGTTTTCCCTTCTAGAAGTATAATCACCACCAGATTCTGGATCATCATCAGAATCTGGATCAGAATCAGATCCACTCTCAGAATCTCCTTGAGATTCTGACTCATCTTCAGAGTC